TTTAGGCATAAAAACGAGTCTGTACAAAAAAGTACCAAAATTCAGCTTGATGACGATAGCTGACGAGAAAGAGCATGAAAAAATACATCTGGTCCGTATAGTTACAAAGTCTAAAAATGTTTCATATATAGACTTTTTTTGGGAAATATGAAAAAAATGTTGAATTTTGGCGAAAAAAGACGTCATTTTAGGCCTTTTTTCGACCTCGGGAAATGCAACTGCGATTGCATTTCCAAAAAAAAAAGTCAGAATCCATGCTGGAATAGACGATAATCACCTTTCCTGATGTACCGCGAATAGCGATAGGTGTCTTATGGGCACCCAACATCATACAATTGCAACGCACTTCGCCCCGAAGACTGCATTGGTTTCAATCTAATAAATGCTACCCGCCCGTTTACACAGTTGGGTATTTATGCATGTATTACAGCACATTGCACTTTCCTGTTACACTTCCATACTAAAGTCCACAACCCTTTTTTGGCTCGCAAACAACAATAGGAAAATACTTTCACCTTAGGGTTAGGGTTACCTGAGAAAGGCATTCGACATCATAAACTACCGAAATTTACGTACTTTCTCGTATGGCCCCAGCGAAGTCTAAAAATAGCCATCTATGCTTTAACTCTAATAAATATTCTAACACGTAGAACGAGCCAGTCCACTTTGGATTTTACACCTCGGCAAACCGCATACTAGCCCCAGATCAAGTTTGGTTCTACCCAAATTTGAAATCTTTCCACCGGATAATCCTATTCTTTTCAACACCAGAAATTAACTACGTTTCCAGTATCGATCCAAATAATTAAGTCTGCCCCGCTGATCGATCAATTATCAAAAAGAACTTTCAGAAAAGAGGGGATCCACTGACATGTCGCACGATATGAATGGCTCACGTGAAAGAACACAAAAAACTACCCCTAGAACATGTGCGAGGTTAGGTGTAATTATTTGAATATTACGTACTTATTGCGGGTCCACATAAAATACGCACTTAAGCGGGGCTTAGGGTTAGGGTTACCTGAGAAAGGCATTCGACATCATAAATTACCGAAATTTACGTACTTTCTCGTATGGCCCCAGCGGAGTCTAAAAATAGCCATCTATACTTTAACTCTAATAAATATTCTAACACGTAGAACGAAAAGTCCACAACCCTTTTTTGGCTCGCAAACAACAATAGGAAAATACTTTCACTTTGCCCTGTTTAAATTTCCATACTAAAGTCTTCCAATTAGTATTAGAAAAACAATAGCAGCGGTACTCGGTCGTCTGAGCGCCAGTGGAGAGTCTGGATCGCCTTATAAATTGAGCGAACCCCACTCGGCCACAATGGTGCGCGTGCTTGGATCTTTTGGTGACTTGGGATATCACCTTGAGTCCCATGATAAAGATGCTTAGATCAATACTAAACCTAGGATTGAAGCGTCAGCGGAAGATGTATCGCCGCAGACGTGCGAAGAGAAAGGATGTCAAGATCATCATAGTTTTGGGAGGGGCTACGATGATAAGAAAGTTACAGAGGAAGATCACCAATTTGGTCTGAAAGAGAAACATCGACCGTTCCTCGAGGTCCTTTCGGAAACCACCGCGGATCGTGCTGCAAAACACGATTCGCTGGATGAAAACCCTTCTGCGAAAACTGAAAGATTCACATCCAAAACCACCGCCAAATTAAAGGAGAAAAACACACGCCTAAGTTGTCCCGTTCAAAGTAGAAGACGGCGGAGACGCATCGGAACAAGCAAGCGATCAAGGCATAAGTTGATGCTGAATTAAAAGGCTGGCAGTTAAAGCGGTTAAACTGGAAACTTTATTGGCAACAGCTGAAGAAGCTTTATACAGAAGACCCAGTCCTAAAGGTTTTAGATCCTAAGCTGATCTATTTGATCCATGGTCCGGTATCGCCACCGAAAGCGAACTAGAATTAGCTGGAGGCACTAGATCATCTTATTCAACTGCTAAGAGACGCCGGATCTACAGCGGGATTTTTTGACACATCAAAACTTTTAAAGTGTAACCACAGTCGGGTTATCAAGGCAGGACGGCTATTATTCGAGAATTGATTTTCACTGACAGTGTCTCACGATCCGAAGGATCGACAGATCAGGGAAGAAGTAGATACCGACCGAAGAATTAAGCAGATCAACCGCACCCTGGAAGAAGAACACCCGGGCCAAGTAATCGATTCGATGGGCCGCAACGCGAAGGAATCATGTACAGGGCCTTCGCGCTATGCCTCAGTAGAATCGGATTTGGACTCAGACGAATCGCTTGGGATACAACGGATGCCTCTGGGACCGACGGGAGCAGCTCTGCTGTGAGACAAGATCGACTCGGCCAATAGCTAAATGCGATCGACTCCAATGCCGTTCTCACGGAAGGCAAACACGGCGGAGCCAAGCCAGTTGCAAACGTACTTCAAGTCCGCCATGGACAAGTTCATTCGCGATCACGAAGAACAAAGAGCAAGCCACCTGGTCGTCCAATGACGGTTTGCAAACTCGCAAGAACGGTATGTTTAAGATGTCGAAACGGAATCAGTGGATTCATAATGCGATCGACCGAGCGAACACGAGCAAGGCCAAAAGTGTTTTAACAATCTAAGGCGATTGCGGGTGGCAACCACAGGATCCGCACCCACGGGAGATTTCAGTGCGCAGAGGATTAGGTTGTCGGTAATGACTTACCTGCCCAAGATAAAAGACGTGCTAGCAGCTGGTTTAACAAGATGAGGACTGTCTTCCTTCGCGGTCAGGCTCCAGATTACGAGAAATGTTGGGTATTTGGAGATCTGCTGACGGTAATTGCCCGGAGTTGAATAACTAGTTAAGCTGATTGACCCGCAATGAGTGATAACTATTGTCCAAAAGCTTCATGGTCCAAAGAGGATCCTAATATCAGTTGGAAGACAGTATTACCATGCGCATAAACGGCCGAGTGAGACCCCGTTGGAACATCTTCACCGGCTAAATGTGGCAGGATGCTAGAGAAGATAGCGTTCAGAGATGGATCGCCTGCAAGCCGACGTGAACATGTGAAACATTCCATTTTTTTGAAACTTTGAACGATCGAGAGATTTCAAAGCAACTGACTCTATTGCGAGTGCAAGACGCTGACGCGATAGAAGAGACTCTACACGCGTATCAACTTGAGAGTTATTAGCACAACAAAGAGCTGACCGAAGGGAACAAGTATCGATCGCGATCGTCTACAGCGTCGGCCCCGGTGTATTTAAAAAATTTGCGAGTAGTGGAAGCCATTCGCGTAGAAAGTTACGAAATCGATTTAGGGTCAAGCTCGGAAGGATCGATTGAAGAAGGGTTTTGCCGCAAAGTATTTGTGACGAAAACCTCGGATCAAGCTGCAGACCCGAAAGAACAACGAGACAGATTGCACAAAACAGACCGGGATGATGATCGCGATCTCAGCGGAGCTTCAAAAGCCTGCACACGTTGTGGCTCAAAAAGACATGACGATCGCGGAAGGTGGAAAAGATTGATACGTCAAAAGTGTGGCCGCAAAGGACATCCCTCGGACAAGGACCTGCATGTGTCTCCCGCCTGTGGGGAAATTCATGAGAGCGGTGAATGCCCCATAGAAGAGTTCTACAAACCGATCTGCAAGTGGTACGTCCCAGCCTAGCACGTGGGACTACTGCCAACCGAGATGAGGACATGTTATTTCAGGACGCTCGCCAGGTTGAAATCTGGTACGAGAAGAGCGTTCCTAGGCTATGCATCTATGCATTTGTGGAGACTGAAAGGATCGATCAAGGAGTAAACAGTCGGATCGGTCCGATCGCTGATATATAGGATTTGAAAACCCACCGCCTACGTAGTATTTCAAGTGTAAAAGGGTGGATGTATACTCGCGATCTCCTGTTAAAATGGAGCTCAATCTAGCACCAGGAGAAGAGCGCGGGTTTCGGAAATTTCACGTACCTGGAAAGTGTATAAAACAGACTGAAGCAGTGGGAAAGATTAACAACGAAAAGGCAACCATGCGATTCGATTCTGGAGCTGAAGTTTCAACCATAGACGCTACTTTCGCTCGTATGTAGGATTATAATCGATAACAGTCAGCAGCGAAAATGTGTGGGGATCCGAGAAAGCGCTTACATGATTGAGGGGCGTACCAAGATCAAGATCACATTAAATAAATTGCTAGAATTTTATTTTGATGTTTGGGTGTGCGATCAAATTGGCCAAGAAGCAATCTTAGGTATGGATTTTATGGTGCCAGCAGGAATAAGATAGCATTCCGTAGATGGTACACTTTGTTTTCCCGATGAGGTAAAAATTCACTTGGCAGGGCGACGACCTCCGTACGGAGTAAATATGAAACCGATCACTGCCCCAGACCAAAATGTGGTAATCCCCGCCGGAGAATTTACGGAAATGAGGATTGGAAAAGGTTTCCCCAAATCCAAACTATGGGTAAGGCGAGACAAGAAGTGGGCATCAAAGATGACTACTGGGCTGGCAAGATCAAGTAATTGATAGAGACTAACGTCCTCGATCGGCAAGTGATTCTTGACCACGATACTCCTTTAGGGTGGTGGATAATGACGGACATGATGCCTCGGTTACCGGGATAGGTGTCGGTCAGATCACGCCGGTGAAAGGAATGGCAGACTCTGGCATTTAAAGCTACAACGGAGTTAACCAAAGAACATCCGATCGGGTATTCAGGGCCCCTAGTGAATCAACCCGTCTCATCCTACCCCAAAGAAGATTCCCTCACGAGCAGAGTTGGCAGATTTCATAGGGCGCAACATCGAGGAAGAAGATCGCCCGGAAAAAGAAGAGCAGCAATCGCTAAAATTGCCTGCTATGGTCAGTATAATGGCAAACGCAGAGAATGGTGATCTGACACAGAATCGGCCGGACGAAGCGCCCAAAAAAGCACAGGAGATCGCAGGCGATGATGATTGCTCGACTGGGAGCAATCGGGAGCTCAAGCAGTAGGATCAAGAAAGCTAAAACATTACAGCACCAATGCGCGTGGAAGACTCAACAGATGATACTCCAATGAAGCCTGCCATGTACCGCCATGACGCGGGCGATCTGTTCGCGAAAGACGTGGACCCACAAATGGCTCTCTTGCCAGAGATTATCGCTCCCACAGAAGAAATGGCTGTATATGACATCCAGTGTGGCGATCTAGGTGTGCCACTGACAGAAGATCAAGAGAATTTAAGGCAACTGATCTGAAAAATCGCCACTTACTCATGGGCAAAGGGAACGCCCTGCCTCTAGCTACGTGTGTAGCGGTTTTCGACATTGATGTTGGAAGCGCCACACCGATCGCGCAGAGAGTAAGACCTGTGGCACCTCAATATCCAGAAAAACTGGCGAACCTGATCAAGGGTTTACTATTGGCTCGGGTCATTCAACCGTCCACCTCACCTTAGGTTTCCCCTATAGTGGTGATCATCAAGAAAATTGGGGAAGATATACGGGTGTGCATAGATCATAGGAGGGTGAAACAGTTAACAAGTTGATGATTTACCCCATGCCACTGATTAACGAAATACGAGTTTCTTCAAGATTTGGATAAAGCGATGTGGTATTGCTCGTTAGACATGGCGAGTGGATTTTGAGTTGTGGAAATGACAGAACGATCAAGAGCTATTTCCGCATTCATCACACCTTCGACTTTGTTTGAATGGTTGTGAATGCCTTTTAGGCTAAAACCGCTCCCCAGATCTACCAAAGACTGATCGAAAATGCACTTTATGGGTATCTAAAGATCAATCCAACAGCAAACTCGCGTGCACTACTTTCGTCGACGCCGGCTGATGTTTTGACTAACGGAGTGCCAGATATAGACCCAAGACCATCAGTTCGAGGTCGGAGGGCATATATCGACGACATCTCGATACCTGCTACGTCGTAGACCTCCCTACATGAAAGGGCGGAAAGACTTTTAGAAGTGTGTGACAGATTAAACTTATTGATCAGTGTAGCCCAAACGTTTCTGGGGGCGTCGTAAGGTTGACTGCCTAGGTCATCAAGTGTCGCGCAAAGGTTGGAGGCCCTCCCCTAATGAATTAGACTCAATTGTGAGTATTCCCTTTCCTCGAACTCTGAGATCATTGCATTCATTGCTGGGAGGCCTAAATCACTACAGCCGCTTTATTACAGACTTTGCGATGCATGCATCTGTGCTTTATGAGCTGCGGGAGATTTCCATGAGACTAGCCAAGATTAAGAATTTCATCTATTAAGATCAGATATCGAACCCGATCGCGATTCACGAGATGGGTTCGGATTTTCTCCTGGCTTAAATACCGGGGGCGATCTGGACTTTAACACAAAGGGCGATCTAAATTTAACACAAAGGGTGATCTGAACAAAAATTTTGGGGTCAATCCGGAATCTGGAAGCAGCTGTCGATGGAAGAAAGCAGTAATATCTTTTACTTTGCTAAGAAACAAATTGCTGAAACCCCGATCTTACGACATTTCGACCCAGATTAAGCACCTGTGATTGTGGTGTACGCCAGTAAGTGGGCGGTATTAGCTGCACTGCTCCAGGAATACGATGGAACAAATTGTCCAGTCACCTTTTCTAGCCGCTCGATGAAGCCAAATGAAGTCAATCACGTAATGGGTCGAGAAAAAGATTTAGCCCTTCTCCGAATATTAGACAGTTGATACACGATGTTGGTCCCGCGAGAAATTATGGTGCTTACGAGATATTCGACGTTGTCTTAACTATTGCAGTCGTCTGGTATCAACGGAAGACTAGGGAGTTGGCGTCGTTAATTTAAAACTGTACGTTAGATATTCGACAATGCGTAATAGGTGAAGAAGATTTGCTTGGAACGCTAGCTGCAAGTGTGTGACTTCCCGAAGAGAAGTAGACGAAATGTCCATCGCGATCACGCCAAGAAAATAGCCATGGCAAACCATTATCATGTTTCCACCCACAATCGAAACAGACGAAAATTCCCTGTTGGTCAGCTTTAATGGATCGGCTACGATAAAGAAGAAAGGCGGGGCTTACAGTTCGATAATATGGAAGTTACCTGAATGGACAATCGTGGAGGCTACTTCTAAAAATGGAAAGGGTTTGACATTGAATGAGGCGGAATATCGCGGACTAGTACTTAGATTGAACTCACTCTCCGATAAGACTAGGGGATGCTGATCTTCTGTGATGACTCTAACTCGATGATAAGGCAGATACGAAGCGAAATCGATTGTAAAGCACCCGATTTACAGTCACTAAAACCTAGGGCAATGGAGATCGTGGCCAAAGCATGAGATTCCACACATGAAACGGGAACGGAACCAGAGTGCTGATAGGCTAGCGAGCGAGGCTTTACAGCAAGAGAAAGGAGATGTCGTGGTATCAGACCCTGAGCGAAACAATTTAATGACCCTCAATCGGCTTAATGAGTTGATGATACTGAGACAAACCAACCGCCCAGTCAAAGTGGCAGCGATCACTCAATCAGCGACGCGAAGACGATGCCCCAGACTGTTATGCGAGAGGAATTTGTACAACATGTCAGGATCGAACGTATAAAGCAGGCGCACAAGATGAGAAGAATTGGTTTTTGGACTTAAAGACATATCTGATCGGAGATATGGCCGCGCTGAATGCTAGACACGCAAAGATTTGCGCCCTAATTTCACTTGACTACGAAGTCGATAAAAGCGGACTGTTACTTTTTTCTGTTCAAGGGAAGCAGCAAAAAATGAAGATCGAAGTGAGCCGGTTCGTCTGGGGATTCCCGAATTGATGCAACAAGACGTATTAGACCACTACCATACTCGTTGGAATGAGGACATCAAGAATTGGGCCGTACATACCAGCGTATCAGGTCGAATTTTTATCGGCGAGGATTGTACCGGATCGTGCAACGCTATGCGGTCGAGTGTTTAATCTGAGAAACTGGCAAGGGTCACCCACAAGATCAAGGTAGGTCGCCAGAAAATTTACAAGCGACTTATCCTTTCCAACTTCCGATTATGGATCATATTCCGTCTCTACCGCGATCGTTTAAATGGAATACAGAGTTACGACTGTGGGTTGATCTGTTCTCGGGCTATGTGATCGCAAAGAAGAGCTCATCCCGAACTTTATAGACAATTGCGAAAAATTACGAAGAAAGAGTATTTCGAAGCCGCGGCGCGAGTGAAATCATCCGTCATAACCGAGAGCCAAGATTTATGTCTGATTCCTTCCGGGCTTTCAACAAGATCGCGGGACAGAGGGGATGATCCACAATGGCTAATAGACCTCAAGCCAACGGAACCGCAGAACGCAAGGTTCAAACACTGTGAAACGATTAATTAAAGTGTTTGTCGCTGATGAAAACCAGAGACATGGGGCGAATACACAGAACAATAGACCTACACGACTAAAACCTCACAAGATCGAGCCCGCGGGGAAACGCCGTTCTATCTCATCCATGGTTGCGACCCTAGATCGACGTAGGAAGCAACTTTGCCGCTAGGAAGTGTTAAACCTCGCGATCGCGACCCCAGTAGATGGAGGCATAATATACAGCAACAATATCAACAACCTAGGGCAATCGTGAACGATCGCCTGAAGATAGCGATTCAAGACCGAGCGGATCGTCAAAACGAAGACCGCGATCTGTTGAAAAATGATCGATGATCACAAGTATGGTTGCATCTGGATCGCGTCAAAGATGGATATGCTCTAAAGCTGGCTCATACCTGGCACGGATGATTCCGAGTAGGTAAAAAAACATTGGGGACCATCCGGTGAAATTAGCGATCGCAGGCACATCCTATCGGTTGTTCCCGGTCGTTTATGTATCCAACCTGAAGTTAGTGAAGGTGTTCCCAGAACAGCTATAAAATCGGGTGAATAGACGAGTCTGATCGAGTTGATTTTGGTAAACCCCAACTACCTAAAGATAGTTGGGAAGGTGAACTGGATGACGTAGAAGTCGAGGTGAATAAACTTGTGGATGTGCAATCAGGTCGAAAACACGCTACGGGCGAGTACATCGTTAATTTTTAGTACAATTGAAAGGTTGTAGAGATCCGTCATGGGTATATGAAGCAGATCTGAATGGTGGAGCTATAATGCAAGAATTTGATCGCGATCGAATAGGTCGGAATCGATTTGAAGATATGCAAACGCACGAAGAAAATCCAGGGATCCAGGTACCTAGACCCAATCGGGGTGGTCGGAGTGTGTAAGTATGCAAGGAGGTTGCATACGGTTGTAAGACGGTGAAGAGTACACTGGAAGGCGGTGTCTGAGAATGGCGGAAATATGCAAGGGGGTTGCATATGTTGAAAGGTGAGCGCAATTGCATCAGGAGGTGATGCATGAAGAAGGAAGGGCTGATTGTAGGTAGGTGTGGCGATCAAAACACGATCGCGGTCTACGATTCTGAGAAAAGAAAAAAAGGGACATTTCCAGGGGGCATCAAGATGAAAAACAGCATGAAGAAATGGAAATGGAACTTGAATATGTATTATACCAATCAGAGTACAGAGCGACGAACTTGCCGGCGAGGCGAGAGATCGACATGCCTGGACGATCCACGATCACACCTCGGTTTTGAATGCGCCATGGCTCAGCAAAGTTCGCTAGCAATAAAGCGGAGGCCAGGTTGGGTATACTAATTTTCCGAGTCCCTAACCCAGGGTACGAGAACTGCTTCTCAGTCGAACGAGGCAGATGCAAAAAAACCAGGTGCAGCAGAATGTCCAAGTCACAATTTCCGTCCAGCATACCCTGGAGTATGAATCGCAGAACGCTTTTCCAGCGGGGTCCAGCTCCAGAGTGCCTTTTCTTGCGCTGATCACGGTACAGCGCCAAACCAGGATAGCTAACCCTATCGGCGGAAGAAATTGTCAAAGTGTGGGTCGATTCCCACAAGGTATGGATACGAAGATCCTCAATTGAGTGGTACAGACCCAAAAATCGTTCGAACTACCCAGTAGGCGGGAAGGATACTGGCGCGATTTTCACCTTCAGATACTTCCAAAGCTCCTGGCGGTAAAGCATAGCGATTTGCGCCGAAGTAACCAGGAGAGGAGACCACTCCGACACAGGAGTTGTTTCTGACGTACTGGGAGGAATTGAGAAGGGGCAATGTTTCGGCCTGGCAAGATGGCCGCAGAAAAAAAAGTACAGTTCAGATATGCTGGTCCAGCTCACCTGACGTGCAGACCAAGGTAGAACTTAAAAAGAAGATCTCGCAACGCGGCAATGAAACCTAGGCATCCATTGATCGCAAGACACCTTGGTCCGGGAAAAGCATCGTACTCGGCTCGTACTCGGCTGTATACAATAACGTGTTAAAGGGAGTTAGGTATTCTTTCGCAACACTAATCGCACCATTTGAACCGCTAAAGGCTTCGCCAAACAAGTTGACCTTGGAAATCTTGGTTTTGGACGTAGGAAAAGCAGAGATCGGGGAAGCAGGGGAACCCAATGCAGGACTAGGGATGCACACAATGATAAATTCGGGCGAAGTGAAGGTCGGAGCCAGCAAACTGTCGGGAGGAATAATATGCCGGAAAAAAGAGCGCGATCGGGAGATTGCAGCTAAAGTTTGAGACTCCTCATCTGATGGCTCACCAGCAATCGAGCGGAGCGCAGAAGATGACGGGGCGCGCAGTCTACAATTCTCTTTACGACCCCCGGACCCGGACGGAACGGGTGGTTGAGGCGCTGGCCTTTTCTTAGATCGCTTGGAACGGCGGGAGGTACGGGGAACGCTGTCCTTCAGAATTCTACCCGGGGAAAAAAAGAGATGGAGACGTCGTCACAGATGAAGCCTAAATTTTAATGTCGCCTGGACAGAAGACTGCAGGGAGGTCCGGGGAGTAGAGGAAGCCCTTGTCTTGTCCCTTTTGTTCCGCGGAGAAAGAACTAGAGCGAAAGATCCGGGACGTTTGCCACGGGTGGCCGTGGACTTCGCTGGTTCTTTTATGCATGATGGCTCAGAACGAGATGGGGCCTTCCTGACAGAAGGGGAAGAAATAGTGATGGATACGCCGGTAGCAAATGAGGCGATACTCGATCAAAGAGCCTCCCGATCGCGCAATGCTAGATCGCGCTCTGACTCTAGATTTGAGATCTCAGTCTGGATCCGATCCACTTGATCGGACCGATCGGCGAGAAAGAGTGTAACTGATAGCAATCAACTTGAGCTCAGCGAGATCGTCCCGGAACTGATCACGCTCTGCCACCAGTGCCGCAAAAGCATCGCGTAGGTGTCCAACTTTAATCCGTACTTAAAAAAGTCTAGCCTTTTGTCTGGCTTTCTTTGACTGGACCTTTTGAAGTCTTGCGGTTTCTTGGGTGAGTACACCATGCATTTGGGTATTTTCTTCATCCTTAGTCTGTCGCAAGGCTGCCAACTCCTGATCGTGACGTTTTTGTAAAGTATGAAGAGATCGAGTCGCTTTCAAAAGCTTTACCTTCAAGTCATTAATCTATTGCTCTTGAAATTGACCCACGTATACTTCCTCCCGAAATAAGGCGGCCTCCGCACGCGCATCTTTGAGGTCAAGCAAAGACAATCATAGCGGACTTGAACGAAGTCACAAACGGAGAGGCCGACTCAGCAAAGGAAAGGATCTTTTGCTCTAGTCGATCACCTCGAAGAGTCTCTTTCCTCAATGCTTACTCCAGATCAACGTAGCGATCGACGCAGTCTTGCTAAGACGCGATCGGCTGATAAAGACCAGCGAGCATCTCGATCACAGCCGTTTATCGGCTATCTGCGGCGATTCGACTCGAGCGGTCGGCAATGGAATCGCTCCGGTGGGGCTGGAGTCCATGTGGCCGATCGTCATCAGAGGTGGCAAGGATGGCAGTGAGGATAAACCTGTATTGGTATCACTCGAAGTGCCATGTGATGCATTAACGAATGTCGATGTGGAGTTAACCGGGTAAGGTAGCACGTCACTAGCGGAAAGCACGTCGGGCGAGGCACGACGGGGCGTGGACGATGTGGACGACGCGGACGCCATGGTGGACATAAAAAGGACAATACAGACAGAACACGGGCATAAGCCAGCCGGTTGTTGTTGATCGGCTATTTGTGCAGGGAGCGATTGAAATGAAGGCGATCGAGATCGGGTCCAAAATTTAAGGCAATTAGGCTCAGTACGTGGTGGTATCCGCTGAATCGCTCGTGGAATGACAGCCCGGTTAATTGGTAGTTACCGTCGGGAGGACCCAGCGGGCTCCATCTAATCTAGTCCAAACGGTCCCAGACTGTAATACTGTCAAAGAGCCACAATCGGAGGACCGCTCCGGAGATAGCGATTTAGGGACCACGACCAGGGGACCTTGATAAAGGACCCTCGATCAAGGAGCCGCGAGCAGGGGACCGCGATCTGGAGAAGGCCACGTGATATAGAAGGACTGCAAATCCACTCCGCATGGAGAAGACACGTGGCGGCCAATCCTGATGTAGGGAGTAGGCGTGGTTATAGTTTTGGATTTTGGTTGGATAGCATTAAAGAGAGTCCAATTTGCTTCTAAGCACATACTTGTCGTTTTTCTTCCAAGTTGAATATTTTGGCCTCCAGACGTCAGAGGACTTCGACACCAAGGACAGGTAGATCACTCCTGGAGCTATTTGGCCAGGAGTGCAAGGACTCTCAACACACCTCAATTGCGATCGGACGCAGGCAGCCTTACTGGTTGAAGTACAAGACCACAAGACGGCTCAAGTGGTCAGAAGGTTCGTGATCCAAGTACCCCACTTTAAACACAAGGCAATCAAGGCTGGTCACGGCGATTTCAGGATAGCATCAACCACGAACACGTGATCGGGTGAGGAATTTCCACCTGATCGACACCAATCTCTAAAACGGTCAAGTTCAGCATCGAGTCAAGTCCACCTAGAAGAGTGCAACCCGCCTTACCGACGAGTGCACAAGGTGAGGAGGAAACAGTGCAAGCGGAATCGAAGTACCCCCTCCGTAAGTCGGGTGACAGGGCGCCGGTGGAGAGTCTGGAATTTCCTCATAGTACGAGTGACCCCACTACACCACAGTCTTGTCCGTCAAATCAAGGTGCGCCTGGATGTTCTTCTTGATTCTGTTCAAATCTGCATCTCGACTTGCTTGCAACGTTAGGAGTAGCCACGTTTACCCTTAAGTAGCAACATTCGGTGGGCTGATAAACAAGCTACCACCTGATTCTCCTCGACCTAGCCATGGATCAGGAAGCCTCTACAGTGGTTGTGCTGTGCTGCAACGACAACAAATTACATGACAGGATATTTTCCTGATGATGATCGGATACGACCAGCACTTACACTGACAGCCGACGCCACATCACAGGCAGTATCCGATTGCTTGAGCTTACACTCGAGTTCGTTAGCCTGTCTTTTGACAACGGCGACAATAGCGACAAAGTAGCTCACCTGGCACCAGAGAAAGAACAAAACCAAGATGTTGTCACCAAGACCGGGTGGGACTCGACCATCGATCAGCATGTCGCAACGTGCATCGCATTTGAACGGTCCAATACGGTGGTGATGGCGTCGATAACGGAGCATCGGTGCATCTAATGACAGCAGAATCGACGTCGTGCACGAGATGCTGCTCAATATGAGGCTGGACAGCGCGTGGTGCAAAGGAGCTCTCCCAGATGGGTTTGAACCAGCGACCTTGAGGTTAACAGCCGCACGCTCTACCAACTGAGCTATAGGAGAAACCAAACTAGCCATCCAACAAACGCAACAATCAAACATACACGCATCTACGCACACGCACACAGCTGTCCAACGCGCCGTCTTGTCCGTCAGATTGCGCTGTGCCCGAATGTTCTTGCAGATTCTGTTCACATTTGCATCGCAACTTGCTAGCGACGTTGGGAGTAGCCACGTTTACCCTTAAGTAGCAACATTCGGTGAGCTTATGTACATACTACCACCTGCTTCTCCTGTAACCTGCCATGTATCAGGAAGCCTCTACAGTGTTTGCGCTGTGCTGAAAAGACAACAAATTACATGACAGGACATTTTCCTGATGATGATCGGATACGACCAGCACTTACACTGACAGCCGACGCCACATCACAGGCAGTATCCGATTGCTTGAGCTTACACTCGAGTTCGTTAGCCTGTCTTTTGACAACGGCGACAATAGCGACAAAGTAGCTCACCTGGCACCAGAGAAAGAACAAAACCAAGATGTTGTCACCAAGACCGGGTGGGACTCGACCATCGATCAGAATGTCGCAACGTGCATCGCATTCGAACGGTCCGATACGGTGGTGATGGCGTCGATAACGGAGCATCGGTGCATCTAATGACAGTAGAAGCGACGTCGTGCACGAGATGCTGCTCAATATGAGGCTGGACAGCGCGTGGTGCAAAGGAGCTCTCCCAGCCGGATTTGAACCAGCGACCTTGAGGTTAACAGCCGCACGCTCTACCAACTGAGCTATAGGAGAAACCAAACTAGCCATCCAACAAACGCAACAATCAAACATACACACGTCTATGCACACGCACACAGCTGTCCAACGCGCCGTCTTGTCCGTCAGATTGCGCTGCGCCTGAATGTTCTTCCAGGTTCTGTTCATATCTGCATCGCAACTTGCTCGCGACGTCGGAAGTAGCCACATGTACCCTTAAGTAGCAACATTCGGTGAGCTTATGTACATGCTACCACCTGCTTCTCCTGGACCCTGCCATGTATCAGGAAGCCTCTACATTGGTTGTGCTGTGCTGCAAAGACAACAAATTACATGACAGGATATTTTCCTGATGATGATCGGATACGACCAGCACTCACACTGACAGCTGACACCGGGTCACAGGCAGCATTAGATTGCTTGAGCTCACACTCGAGTTCGTTAGCCTGTCTTCTGACAACAGCAACAACAGCGACAAAGCATCTCACCTGACACCAAAGAAAGAACGGAACCAAGATGTTGTCACCAAGACCGGGTGGGACTCGACCATCAATCAGAATGTTGCAACGTGCATCGCATTCGAACGGTCCAATACGGTGGTGATGGCGTCGATAACGGAGAATCGGTGCATCTAATGACAGCAAAAGCGACGTCGTGCACGAGATGCTGCTCAATATGAGGCTGGACAGCGCGTGGTGCAAAGGAGCTCTCCCAGCTGGGTTTGAACCAGCGACCTTGAGGTTAACAGCCGCACGCTCTACCAACTGAGCTATAGGAGAAACCAAACTAGCCATCCAACAAACGCAACAATCAAACATACACACGTCTACGCACACGCACACAGCTGTCCAACGCGCCGTCTTGTCCGTCAGATTGCGCTGCGCCTGAATGTTCTTCCAGGTTCTGTTCATATCTGCATCGCAACTTGCTCGCGACGTCGGAAGTAGCCACATGTACCCTTAAGTAGCAACATTCGGTGAGCTGATAAACAAGCTACCACCTGATTCTCCTCGACCTAGCCATGGATCAGGAAGCCTCTACATTGGTTGTGCTGTGCTGCAAAGACAACAAATTACATGACAGGATATTTTCCTGATGATGATCGGATACGACCAGCACTTACACTGACAGCCGACGCCACATCACAGGCAGTATCCGATTGCTTGAGCTTACACTCGAGTTCGTTAGCCTGTCTTTTGACAACGGCGACAATAGCGACAAAGTAGCTCACCTGGCACCAGAGAAAGAACAAAACCAAGATGTTGTCACCAAGACCGGGTGAGACTCGACCATCGATTTGAATGTCGCAACGTGCATCGCATTCGAACGGTCCAATACGGTGGTGATGGCGTCGATAATGGAGCATCGGTGCATTTAATGACAGTAGAAGCGACGTCGTGCACGAGATGCTGCTCAATATGAGGCTGGACAGCGCGTGGTGCAAAGGAGCTCTCCCAGCTGGGTTTGAACCAGCGACCTTGAGGTTAACAGCCGCACGCTCTACCAACTGAGCTATAGGAGAAACCAAACTAGCCATCCAACAAACGCAACAATCAAACATACACACGTCTACGCACACGCACACAGCTGTCCAACGCGCCGTATTGTCCGTCAGATTGCGCTGCGCCTGAATGTTCTTGCAGATTCTGTTCATATCTGCATCGCAACTTGCTCGCGACGTCGGAAGTAGCCACATGTACCCTTAAGTAGCAACATTCGGTGAGCTTATGTACATGCTACCACCTGCTTCATCTGGACCCTGCCATGTATCAGGAAGCCTCTACATTGGTTGTGCTGTGCTGCAAAGACAACAAATTACATGACAGGATATTTTCCTGATGATGATCGGATACGACCAGCACTCACACTGACAGCTGACACCGGGTCACAGGCAGCATTAGATTGCTTGAGCTCACACTCGAGTTCGTTAGCCTGTCTTCTGACAACAGCAACAACAGCGACAAAGCATCTCACCTGACACCAAAGAAAGAACGGAACCAAGATGTTGTCACCAAGACCGGGTGGGACTCGACCATCAATCAGAATGTTGCAACGTGCATCGCATTCGAACGGTCCAATACGGTGGTGATGGCGTCGATAACGGAGAATCGGTGCATCTAATGACAGTAGAAGCGACGTCGTGCACGAGATGCTGCTCAATATGAGGCTGGACAGCGCGTGGTGCAAAGGAGCTCTCCCAGCTGGGTTTGAACCAGCGACCTTGAGGTTAACAGCCGCACGCTCTACCAACTGAGCTATAGGAGAAACCAAACTAGCCATCCAACAAACGCAACAATCAAACATACACGCATCTACGCACACGCACACAGCTGTCCAACGCGCCGTCTTGTCCGTCAGATTGCGCTGCGCCTGAATGTTCTTCCAGGTTCTGTTCATATCTGCATCGCAACTTGCTCGCGACGTTGGGAGTAGCCACGTTTACCCTTAAGTAGCAACATTCGGTGAGCTTATATACAAGCTATCACCTGCTTCTCCTGAAACCTGCCGTGTATCAGGAAGCCTCTACAGTGTTTGCGCTGTGCTGAAAAGACAACAAATTACATGACAGGACATTTTCCTGATGATGATCGGATACGACAAGCACTGACACTGACAGCTGACACCGGGTCATAGGCAGCATCCGATTGCTTGAGCTCACACTCGAGTTCGTTAGCCTGTCTTCTGACAACAGCAACAACAGAGACAAAGCAGCTGACCTGACACCAGAGAAAGAAAGAAACCAAGATGTTGTCACCAAGACCGGGTGGGACTCGACCATCGATCAGAATGTCGCAACGTGCATCGCATTCGAACGGTCCGATACGGTGGTGATGGCGTCGATAACGGAGCATCTAATGACAGTAGAAGCGACGTCGTGCACGAGATGCTGCTCAGTATGAGGCTGGACAGCGCGTGGTGCAAAGGAGCTCTCCCAGCCGGATTTGAACCAGCGACCTTGAGGTTAACAGCCGCACGCTCTACCAACTGAGCTATAGGAGAAACCAAACTAGCCATCCAACAAACGCAACAATCAAACATACACACGTCTATGCACACGCACACAGCTGTCCAACGCGCCGTCTTGTCCGTCAGATTGCGCTGCGCCTGAATGTTCTTCCAGGTTCTGTTCATATCTGCATCGCAACTTGCTCGCGACGTCGGAAGTAGCCACATGTACCCTTAAGTAGCAACATTCGGTGAGCTTATGTACATGCTACCACCTGCTTCTCCTGGACCCTGCCATGTATCAGGAAGCCTCTACATTGGTTGTGCTGTGCTGCAAAGACAACAAATTACATGACAGGATATTTTCCTGATGATGATCGGATACGACCAGCACTCACACTGACAGCTGACACCGGGTCACAGGCAGCATTAGATTGCTTGAGCTCACACTCGAGTTCGTTAGCCTGTCTTCTGACAACAGCAACAACAGCGACAAAGCATCTCACCTGACACCAAAGAAAGAACGGAACCAAGATGTTGTCACCAAGACCGGGTGGGACTCGACCATCAATCAGAATGTTGCAACGTGCATCGCATTCGAACGGTCCAATACGGTGGTGATGGCGTCGATAACGGAGAATCGGTGCATCTAATGACAGCAAAAGCGACGTCGTGCACGAGATGCTGCTCAATATGAGGCTGGACAGCGCGTGGTGCAAAGGAGCTCTCCCAGCTGGGTTTGAACCAGCGACCTTGAGGTTAACAGCCGCACGCTCTACCAACTGAGCTATAGGAGAAACCAAACTAGCCATCCAACAAACGCAACAATCAAACATACACGCATCTACGCACACGCACACAGCTGTCCAACGCGCCGTCTTGTCCGTCAGATTGCGCTGTGCCCGAATGTTCTTGCAGATTCTGTTCACATTTGCATCGCAACTTGCTAGCGACGTTGGGAGTAGCCACGTTTACCCTTAAGTAGCAACATTCGGTGAGCTTATGTACATACTACCACCTGCTTCTCCTGTAACCTGCCATGTATCAGGAAGCCTCTACAGTGTTTGCGCTGTGCTGAAAAGACAACAAATTACATGACAGGACATTTTCCTGATGATGATCGGATACGACCAGCACTCACACTGACAGCTGACACCGGGTCACAGGCAGCATTAGATTGCTTGAGCTCACACTCGAGTTTGTTAGCCTGTCTTTTGACAACAGCAACAACAGAGACAAAGCAGCTGACCTGACACCAAAGAAAGAACGAAACCAAGATGTTGTCACCAAGACCGGGTGGGACTCGACCATCGATCAGAATGTCGCAACATGCATCGCATTCGAACGGTCCGATACGGTGGTGATGGCGTCGATAACGGAGCATCGGTGCATCTAATGACAGTAGAAGCGACGTCGTGCACGAGATGCTGCTCAATATGAGGCTGGACAGCGCGTGGTGCAAAGGAGCTCTCCCAGCTGGGTTTGAACCAGCGACCTTGAGGTTAACAGTGTTAGAATTAACTAGGTTGCGGAGCTGATGCTAAGAAGAAGATGGCTTACGGCCGGGGGATTAAAACCGAAAAGTGAGTTGTATTCAAATTGTTCCTAGCTTCGAAACGAATGGCTAGTAGTAGCCGGTGGCTCAGCCACCTATTTCGTGCCCTGTCTCCACCGCTTTCTGTTTTACCTATCACTGGGTAATTACGTCTCGTAAAGACCTTTCGTAAAAACTCTGCTGTGTCATATGCAGAATGAAAACGATTGCGTGGGTGGGGAACGTAACTGCGGGCAGGTCACAGTTCTGGTGAACCCCAAACACCAGGTCGTGAGTGTCAGTCACAATTAACTTGTTCACGGCGGGGATCGAACCCGCACTCACCCGCGTGGAATCCCCCTTCACAAAAGACTGAGACAGTCCGATGACCTGTCGTTTCGCTAACATCCCACAATATAAACCTGCCAAAGAACAATACAACTAATGCAAATATGCAATATACACCCTGCACAAGTCGCCGCATCATCACTCGCTAGCACTCTCCCTTGATGTGCGTGCGACGTGTGCGCCCTACACCGCCATGCACAGACCCGTGATGAACTTGCTGTGCTTTTCTCTTGGAAGTGCCTTGGTGAATCCATCCGCGACCATATCTTCTGTCGGATTGAACTCTAGCGCGATCACTGCACTTGCAACCTTTTCACGCAAAAAGTGAAATTTGATGTCGATGTGCTTCGTGCGCGAGTGGTACACAGGATTCTTGGCCAGCGCGATGCAACCTTGATTGTCTTGAAAAATCGTCGTCGCGTTCTTCGCACAGTAGTTCAGGTCCTTGAGCAGACCTCGAAGCCAAATTGCTTCCTGCGTCGCGCTGTACAGACTCATGTACTCTGCTTCCGTACTTGAGGTCGCGACCGTTGGTTGACGCTTCGAATTCCACGATATCACGCTTCCGTTCAGGAAGAAAACGTATCCTGTTGTCGAACACCGCGTGTCGAGGTCGCCAGCCCAGTTTGCATCCGCGAATCCGATCAGCTCTCCCTTGTTGATGCCGCTGAACACGATGCTTAAGTCTTGAGTCCTCTTGAGATACTTGAGAATCCGCTTTGCTGCTGTCCAATGCGACTTGTCGTAGCGCTCGCAAAACTTCGCAACTTCGCCAACCGCATGCGCAATGTCCGGTCGTGTACATGTGGCGATGTACATTAAAGCGCCCACCAGCTCACGGTATGGGTACTTTGGTACAAACGCTTCCTCTTGACCCATCTTGATCAGCTTCGAATTACTGTCCGCTGGCGTGTGCACGTCCTTGCAGTTCTCAACGCCGAACTTCTCCGACAGTCGCTTGATGTACGCCTTCTGGTTCATCTTGATCGTTCCATCTTCGCGCTTGCGATGAATCTCGATCCCGAGGCAGTACTTGAGATCTTCAAGATCTTTAATGCTGAAATCTTTCATCAATGAGTTCTTGATACTCGCGATGTGCTCCTTCGTCTTGCAGAAAATCATCAA